TAAAAATCATCCATTTCACATAACGAACTTCATTTTTTCGGGAAAGGAAATCAACCTTTGCAGAATGATGGCATTTCACCCAAAAGAAAAAAAGTATTTCTTGATTGTTTTAAAGATTTTTGCAATAGAGACCATCAGACCATTGATAAAGCAATTTCAAGAAGAAAAAAAAGTTCACTAGAGTCTACTTTGTAAAATGGCTGGTTTATCATTTCGTGATAGGGCGTGTACTCATTTTGGTTGTTTTACTGATAACCATTTAAGTTTTAATCATTATGTATTAAAATGATGTTTTGAAAAAGTATATACAGCCGTTCTGTAAAAGAAAGGAAAAAAAAAAAATCTTAAGCCCTTCTAAGTTTTGACAAAATATATTTACATTTTGGATATGGCGAATCCATATAAGACAGTAAGACACTGATAATAGAGTCCACGATACATAAAATTATAGGATCAGAAAATTAAATAAAACTTGAACAAGTAGTAAATATAAATCATTAAATGAGGCTTTAGTTATATATGTTTATATATTTTGAAACATATATTGTACAACAATACTAAAATGCTAAAATGTATTTTTATAACTTTGATTTCGTGCAATTTTCAAAGTCTTTAGAACAAAGCCAATTATAATAAGGTTTCTTAAAATATGTAAATGTAACTCCATAATTTTTTTTTTCCGAGTATGAAAGTGAAAGTAAAATGATGTGTTTGTCGATAATCTATATATATTGAGTTATTGAGTTATTGACCAAAACATTTTTATAAATATACAAATATACCATATACAATATGAATGGGAAATATGCATGATCAACAACACAAATCATGGAGATTTAGAGTATCTATTCCACCTTTTTTTGGTACACAAAATTGCAATTTTTACCTCACTAACCATCCAATATATGATTATATGATCAAACACAGTGCAACGGTCTGTCTCATCCACAAACAGTGCTGTGAAATCTTTGGTTACTTTATACATGACAAATACATAAATGAATCCTATAAAAAGCAAGATATTTTTAAAAGATTTTTAGGCAACAATAATCACATAATATGATCCTAAAATAGGTTGGAAGTGCTCTATCTTGATTTTGTGCATGAATTTCAAGATTCACAAAGTAATTAATCCCCCTTAGAAGATTTTCTAAGCAAGTATTGCTCAAACGGTCAAACCCAACATATCAAAAACAATAATCAACATTGATGTAAAAAGGTAATTGCTAAATGCAAACCAATTTCACATTTTCACATCAAGCATTAAAATCTAAGATTCTATGTATAACATCATCAATTTGGGGTAATCAAAATTCATGGTAGAATTCACAAAAAGGTTAAACAGGATAGCCATTCAATCATTTGGCTCTACAGTATAAATTGGATTATAGTATCTTTATTTCTGAATTTAACAAAATCATGTAAACGATTCTCAGTTATTTCTCTCAATTACCTCAAAATTTCGGTTCAAAATCATTGACTTTCCTGTTTCTGTCGCTGATCCTCTGATTTTGAATCTACTGCAACCTGTTCTTCTTTCTCCTGATCTAATTGATTGTGTACTTCTTGTTCGGCGTCCTTTTCTGCTTGCAAAATCACGCCGTAGTAATCCGGATGAGCCTCCATACATTTCTTCAAAGCTGATGTAGCATCGAAACACTTGTTCACGATATCTTCATCGTTCTTTTCGCCTTCTTCAACGCATTTTTCCCAGTTGATGAATGTTTCTCTACACTCGCCCCCTTTCATGAACAAGCAAAATCCACATTCTCCTTCTTCTTCTTCTTCCCCCTCTTGATTTCCGTTTTTTATGTCTACTGGAGATGGATCTGTGGATTCTGGATTTGGGTTTTTGTTTTCGTTTTCTTTTTCGTTTTCTTGTATTTTAGGTGCTTCAGCGATGGGTTCTGGTTCTGGGTTTAGGGGTTTATCAGATGGGGAGGTAGACATGGAGGTTGTGGCGGCGGCGCGGTGGATTTAGGGTTTTGTTCGGCGGAATTGACGGAGATGAGGAAGAAGATGCTGGAAAACAACTTCCCGAGATCAAGATTCTTCAAACTTTTCAACTTTAATCCTTTCGTGGCTCTCTCCGTTGAATTTTTGGGATTATTTTGCTGTTTCTTTATGGACCTTTTTTAAAAAAATTTCAAGAAACCTAACAAAGTGTGGCTTGAAAGTCACGAAACATGACTTGGGATTATTTTGACCACTAACAAAATTGGCACTCTATTTTTTTTTTTTTATAATTTCTTATAAATAAAGTTTAATGTTTGTCCAATGATAACTAAATTTCAGTTTTGTATATGTATTAAGCTTTCCGTATACCATTTTAAGTTTACTAACCGGTCCGATCCCAAAACCGGTTTTGGTCAAAACTAGATCCTCGATATGAAATCGAACCGAAAACCGGAACCTCTGAAACCATATCCGAAAACCATTTACGTCATTAGGTTATCTAGAATGGTCACCGCATGACCACTCCAAAAGTATTGTCAGTTGTCACCTAATCACCATGTTGTTACCACTTTTCTATCATACCTAGGAAATAGTCACCACTCCAAATCATATTTATTATGCTTGGACTTTATGTTTAATATTTTGTACATTTTAGAGAGAGAGAGAGAGAGAGAGATAGAAGATGAGAGGGAAAGACAAAGAAGATGAGCGGTCAAGCTTGGTTCTCACCACAACCGACCACAAACACACTCCCCATTACTCCACGGTCTACCACCTCGAGGTTTTGTTCATGTTCATAACGCCCCCATCACGCCACCATCACAACCCCAATTTGGTAAGCCTTAATAGTTACCTTCACTCTTCCCACATGGAAATATGGAATCTATACATGGATCGTGGTTTGTGTGATTTACTTAAAGGCTAGAGCTATGCAAGGCCTAGCCCAAGAACAATTGACAAAAGCCAAGTCTATCAACAGATGCAAAAAAGTTTGCCCATGTCTGGTCCAATCCTAGGGGGTAGAGGTGTACAAATGAGCATGTTTTTTTTTAATCGCCCATGAAAAAAAGAACCGATTTTTCCATAACCGGTTTCAGTTTAACCTACCAGACAGTTTTCTATCGGTTTTTCCTCGTATGCATGGACTAGTTTTCTATCAACTTTTTTGTCAGTTGCAGGGTTATATCAAAATGAAAGTCACGACTCCTCGTCCAATATGTGTTTGCTTGAAGGATTACTTGGACGACGTTGACAAGATACAAAATTGTGTTTTGCTCAAAGGACCACTTTTATCATCCGTTGAAGAGTTCATTCATGAAGAAGAAGTCGCACAAGGCATATTGAATCCAATGACTGAAGTAGATGAGGGTGATCTGGAAGAAGGAGAGGACCTATAGTTGTTCGATTTCATGACGATTACCACTTTGAAGACTATAATTCTTATTGTTTTCAATTTGACACTTATGTTTTTATGTAATCTGTAGCTCAAGCAATGTTTCTTTTCATGTTTTCTAAGTTCAAACTATGTTGGTTTATGTATTGCAAATATTTTTTAGGTTTATGATGGTTTATGTGTAGTAAGTATTTGCTTAAGATTGCTATGAAGGCTATTATTCCTATTATTTCAATATTAACACTTATATTTTTATGTTATTCTTAGCTCAAAATAAGCTTACCTTTCATGTATTTCTAAGTTCAAACAGTGTTAGTATTATGTATTATGCCTTCCAATAAGAAAAAACCCTTCCCGAAACCAATTAGGTTAAAACCGAAACTGATATGAATAGAAACAAGTTAAAAACTAGACCAATTAAAAAAACGGTTTCAGTTAAAACCAAAGTATGTGCAAATCCAGCCCGAAAAACCCCATAAAAAGAACCCAATATGTTTTATATAATGTTTTATTATTGAACTACACAAAAAGAGATAAAAGACTTGAATCCGTTGGAAGATATTATAGCAAGCGAAAAATGTGTATTTGTTCATGCCTTTAAGAAATTGCATCTCAACACATAAATATGTCACGACCGAACACTTTGTGGTATAAAACTATGTGCATTAGCATGTATTAAGTAGGCCTGTCGAAAAAACCCAAAACCCGTTCTACCCACCCGACCCGTTCCGAATTCGGGTAGAATGGGTCGGGTAGAACGGGTAACGGGTATGAACATTCGGATAATAGGTTAACCCGATAATAATATAGGTCGGGTTTTAGGTATGAATTTTTATTTTCGGGTATACCCGAATTCGTTTTTTAAATAATACCAAATATACAATGCAGTCACGTACGCACACTTCAAATAAAACAAAACCCTTCGTTTCCTTCTTATGAACGACGGCTCGACAGTCGACGCAAACTTGCAAAGGAAATACGACGCTGAAGCTGAAGTCTTGAACCGTCATCACAATTCTCAGTTTCTCACTATCGCACGGAATGGAATTAAAAAAGTACATAACATATTATAATGATTTGTATTGTTATTAAATATGTACTTGTTAATTGTATGAAGTATTTTCCTAACCGATTCTTTATTAAACCAACCAACATGTAAAAATAAAAATAAAAATAAAAATTATCAATAAGTGTCATTTAAGAAATTTTCGGGTATACCCGATAATTACCCGACCCGAGCTCAAACCCGAATATCCGAAACCCGAAAACCCGAATTACAATATAGGTCGGGTATCAGGTATTATTTTCTTAAGGAAATACCCGTTCTACCCGAAACCCGAAAATTTTACCCGTTCGACGCCTCTAGTATTAAGCTCCACATATCAGGAGTTGTTGGAAAATTGAAATAGAGGGTTCACATATCAGGAGATGCATTTTGAATTTTGCAAGCATATGGATCAGTTTTTTATACCTAGTATTAAACATATGAAACTTCTCACTCGTTTGAAGTTCCAGTTTTCAAATATTTAACATGTTACTTATGCTTCTATTGGTGTAGTAACTGAGAAATAAACAAATACAGTTTAAAGAACAAGAATCAAGAGAAGCAAAAAGAATACAACAGTACATGAATCTGATGAATTTCAAATCTACCATAGAAGCTACCTTGAAAAAGAAACTGATCATTGACAAATGCCAGTTGTACAAAAGTTCAAATAGGAAAGGAACATGTCTCTTATGACATCTGATTCTATGTCTATTATGAGTTTTCAAACAAGATTGAAAATGATTATGAATCTGTGATTAACTGGTGGAATCATTTTGTCCATTTGTGTCTCTAAGCCCACTGCAACAGAAAAAATGAGGCAGTTTCACTCGCCCACAAACCCTGCAATAATAATGTACAAAAAAGAGCCTAATAAGAAAAGAAGCCCACAATTACATAATGCTAGATAGCAAACTAATAGTGCAATAAGTTAAACAAAAGAAATGTCAAGAAATATTAAGAATAAGATGCAAATCCATCAAAAACTTTTCTACTCCCATAATATTCAAAATCAAAAGGAGAGGCCTCACTTGCAACGTATGATCACTGGAATTGGCTTGAGTGCTCTTGGTCCATTTCTTATTCCACGTTTATGAGGAGACGTCTGCATTATAAACAATACTTAAAAAAGCACATCAAAAAAAAAAAAAAAAAAAATCTAGGGCCCACTTTGTTATATAGAACAAAACATGTTGTATTGTGTTTGATGTTTCATTGGACTAAGGATGAGACTTAATCAATCACACAAACATTGCAAACTTTAGTACAACAAAAAATGTGGGATAGAAATCACTCATCGGTGCAAAAGACATGAATGTCCTCCTCTTTTTCATCAAGGATAGCCCTAAAAAGGTTATCAAGAGAAATTGCACCAAAATATGCTAACAAAATGGAAAATATATCAAGTTTTGGTGTTTTGGCAATTTGCTTCAAACTCTCTATCTAATTTGCATAACCAAGCTTCCCAACTTACCAGTATGGCTCATCTCCATGCTCCAATTGAGATCATACAATCATGTCCTAAAATTAGGGTTCAAGTGAAAGTGAAGTGAATCCCTAATTGATTTCATTCCAATCCCTACTATATTGCAACAAATTGCAAAACCCTAAACCCTAAAGCAACAATGCTCAATACCAAGAACCCAAATCTCTAAAATATTCAACTTAACGGCAATTCAATCTAAGATGCAAAATGTAAAGCAGAGATGCAATAAAAATATACGATTTTAGGGAAAAGGATGGAACTTATAAAATATTAGTTATGTTAGAATCGATAAATTTACCTTCTTCTTAGGGACGGCCATGAGCTCCATAGATCCGCTGCCAACATAGAAACCGGGCCCGATTTCATTATTGAAGGTGTCTATGCGTTTTTCGAATTCCGGCAAAACCATCGGCGGTACTACTGTTGATCGACTTATCGCACTGTCCAGAGGCGGCGGCTGCGCGATGGCGTGAGTCCACCTTGTGAAGGCCAAGATACAACGATTCTTGCTCTCACGGGCGATGCTTTTCGCCATTGACATCCTCAAGAACGCCATCGTTATTCTACAGTACTACTGTTTACGGTGTGCGTCTGCTGGTGTTAGAGAAGGGGTGACGCAATGAAGTAAGAGGTTAACGAGAAGAGTATCTGTATTTCATACGATGTCGTTCGGAAGCTTCACAAAAATTCATAACGACGAAAATACCCCTAGGAAAAACAATAGGATCAAACATTTTTTGTATATTTTTTTCTTAAATAATCAGTTTATTATTATTATTTTGAAAAATGATCATTTTGTCCGGAAGAAACGATTTCCTACCGACGTCACCCGATCCATCTCATTCCAATTGGGCTATGAATACATACCATTACATAACCTATTTTGTAATGCATACCCGAATATCATGCCTTCGAATCACATGCCTTTCCGATGGTTAAGAATAGGGATGCAAGCGGATCGGATAGTACCCGCTACCCGTAGGGACCCGACCCTAACAGGTCGGGTATTATCCGTCTTAACGGGTAACAGGGGGATGGATGAAAAGTTTTATACCCAAAGCTGGGACGGGTCGGAGACGGGTATGACACTATCCACCCCGTTTAAAACCCGATTATATATATATATATACCTTAATAAGCATTTAGCCTCAAATGTTAAATTTTAAGAGGTACAACCCTTAAAACATCATTTACAACAATTTTATGCATTCCAAAAAATATAAGATATTAACCATTGAAAAAGTCAAGATAAGAAGGACTGGATGCATAATTATCCTTAACTTTCGGGCTTTTGACTTAGTCCCATGTAACCCATATGTTGAATACTACCTGCCTTCCCTACATTTCTGTTGATCGATTCTATAAGACTATAATAATCCAGTACACCAATGCTTCCTATCCTCTATTTGTAAAACCCTAATCTGTCAATTTATCTGACCATCGATCACCATCGCCCATTGATTTCTTCCCCTCTCTCTATTTTGACAAGGTATACATCAAAAATTCAATATTCGGCAACTAATTAGCTATCTCTATGCGCGTGTGTGTGTCTTCGACTATGAGCAAAAAAAAATTTTTTTGTGTGTCTTCGACTATGAGCAAATTTTTTTTTTTTTAATTTCAGTTCTTTAATTTATTTGTATTTTCACTTATACACCTCGATTGGACCGTGTTTCAATTCATTTTCACCATCTTTCGTGGGGTGTCAATGTTGTTGTCATTATCATGAGCAAATGGATTTTTCAGGTATGTATCTATATATGCTTTATTCGTATTTTAGCTTTTGTTAATTTTCATTGCACGTTGTTAATGTCGAAATGTGTTGTAATGTGTCGAATGTATTTGAGTCAGTTTCGAAAGTTTTATTATCTATTTACTAAGGTATATTAGTTTCGAAGTCTTGATGTGTAGCCCTTAGTATTTTTTGTATGCTTTCATATTCTCCTATAAATAGGAGTATATGTATTTTTTGTATCTGTCCATTTGACATTAACTATCAAGAACTTTTAAATATCGATAGTTTATCATGTTTTGATGTTTAGTTTTGTGTTGTGTACTGTTGTAGGAAGGTCCATCTTCAAGTCATTAAAAGGTAAAATTCATGATTTGGCTTTCACTATTTATTCTAGAAATGTATTGATTTGTGTATGATTTTTGGTTAGATTAAAACATTACCATTTGATTTCTCTCATTATTTTCGTTTTTTTGACATTTTAAATCTCTTTTGCAGATTCGAGCATTAGTGATCTATTGAGGTTTTCTTTTTGATGAGTTTCTTTTTTGGTTCATATTGATGATTTTTTTTAGATCAGACCTGCATCACTAGCCAACAATGAACCCCAAATAGCAGGTCAAATAAGAAGTATATTAGGTTTGTGTTTCATTTTTCTTTTCTTCCATATAAGTTTTCGTTAGTCTTTCTAACTGTATGTTTGTGTGTGTAACTATTTATGTGAGAAATATTCTCGATTGTGTGTGTGACATTGGTTGTTTTTAAAAGGCATAAAAAGAGGGCATGCATGTATTCCTTAAAAATATTAGATTTTACAACATAATTAGTGTTAACCTTGGTTTTTTGTGTTTAGGGTCGTCTAGGAATCAATCATGGGCATCTTAACACATGAGAAGTAAGATATCAGAAATTGCTGGTTGCTGATGTGTTTGAAATACAAGGATGTTGAGTTTTCTTATTTTAAGGAGAAACTGGTTGATTAATCCAGGAACTCTAGTAAAAGAGTCAGGTCTGCTGTAGTTTTTAAAAGTGTTTTAAGGTTAATGTTTTTTTATTGTTTATTGACTTAATTGAGGTCTGATGCTGAAGTCTGATTCTATTGTTTTTTTTGTTGTTGATGTCAGGTCTGATGCAGTATTGGGACTTGGGTCTTAAATTGAATTGGAACTTGAGATTCCATTCCATGGAGTATTTTGTTTCCAAATGGTTAGATGTCAAGTATGATGCCCCTTCTTGATCTTCGTGGGTGATGTTGTTGATGTTAAAAAATTTATGGAGTAATGACCTTTATGCCCTTAGATGTATTTTTGGTTTGAGTTTTCCATTGGAGTTGTGTAAGTCTTAACAATGGTGGTGCTACTGGTTGTAAACACAAATAAAAGGAAAACAACAATGACATCGCATTTATATTTGCTCCAAAAAACCTATTTCCTATTTCCTTTTTGTTTTCCTCTACAGCCAAGAAATCGACAACCCTTATCTTCTTTTTATTTTCTTATTGGTTCGAACTTGCAGGTGGTTTGTTCTTGGTTTTTTAAGGTGGTTTTAATGGCGATGATGGAACCGATTGGTTGTGGTGGTTAGTGATGGTGTGATGTGGGTGGTGTTCCGGCTAGGAGTGGGTCTCGATAGAGGTGCTTGGTGATGATGATAGCAGGTGGTGTTGTTGGCGGTAAAAGGTGGCGTTAGTGGTAGCCTGGCAGGTTTTTAATGGTGTTGGAACAGTGGTTTTCTAGCAAGTGTGTTTCTCGGTGAGGAAGGAAGTGGTTGGAGATAGCTACGGTGGATTATGATTTCCCTTTTATTTTCAATCAAATTGTCCTGAGTACGTGAGTGCAATGATTGTTATGGGGCAGAATTTGATGAAAAATGAAATATTAGTTGAGGCTCTTGAATATTTGGAACATGTTATAACTAATTAATGATGTTTTCCAGATCCATTGGTGGAGTCTTCGTTATCATTAAAAAAAATCATTTTGGTATTCATCTTTGTTTGTGGTAGTATCTGCCTATATATCTTTACTAGGCGAATCCCCGCGCGTTGCGTAAGAATAGAATTATATAATTAAAATAATAACTTTTACCAAATTATTATTTAATATTTCTACTTTGAAACAAAATGTTAGTAGTAAAGCAAACATATAGTTAACATATTAGTTTTATTAAACATTATAGTTTATTTTTTAAGTTATTGTGATATATACAATTATTTGATAATTTTATAAAACGTTTAAAATTGTGTAAATTATATATCAAATGAATGATAATATAACGGGTAACAAAACGTATGAACTGCAACTTTTAGTAACATAAAAATAGAAAAACATATATTATAACATTTGTATTAAAAAAGATATATATACAACGAATAATAAAAAATATGAAAAATAAACACTATAACTTTTAATAACATAAAAACACTAAAACATCTATTATAACATTTATATTAACTCTTCATATTTAAATCACAAATCTCTTCAAAAATATTAATGTTTTTAATGAGCAAAACTTTACAATCTTATAAAAGAAAGGAAAATAAAAAGTTATTAGTGATTACTAATTAATAATCATAAGTTAAAAACTCTTGAGTTATAACTAATAAATATACATAAATTAGAAAACTCTTGAGTTATAGTGTGAGTTTCAAATGAATGTGGTACTTGGAAATGTATATTTATTATTATTATTATTATTATTATTATTATTATTATTATATTCGTCAAAATAATTGGTTTTGATGCATCATTTTAATCCCTTCAATTATTAAACATAAAAATATTTAATTATAAATTTATAACATACATAGGTGCATATACATGTTAAACAAATCATATATAATATATATATTTTCGTAAATGTCATATGTAATTCTTGTCGTAGTAATATGGATAAATTACTTTCATATGAAGAACATATCATGATAAGTCTATCATAATTACATATCAAATGTTCAAAATTATGTTATCTTTTAAATATTGTCTTTTAAATATGTTGTGTAGGATAACCCAACAAAAAAAATAATAGAAAATAAACATAATCAAAATAGAAAAACTACAATCAAATAAATAAGAGCATTGGGTGGTTGAATATATAAAAAAAATGTTACATAAACATACATTTAAATCAAAAGAAAAATACTAACATTCGTCAACTTTGCTCAAACAAAAAAACATATATCCATTTTATGAATCTTCTTTCTTCATTTAACACCATTCAACCATAGAAAATTGATGGCAATTCTTCACTAACCTGCAATCAAAATATTTTTCTTGAAAAAGAAGAATCAGAAAGATATTCCAAGCAAAACATTGATGTTTGGAGAGTCACATTCAAGATTGAGTAATACACACAAATCACATATAAAGATTGAATGAGAAACTGAATATAAAGAAAGAATAGAAAAACTTCATTTGTTTTGGTTGAAAGAAAAAATCATATTACAATTACCATCGATGCGACATAACTCATTTCTTCAAATCATCATATTTGGATCGTGAATGCTTTAACTATATGAAAACTTTTAAATCACAATATCTTCAAATCCTTCTTACATGTAAGATTTTATATAACACAAAAGACACAAAAGATTGACCTTTTATAGTAAATTTTCACTAAATGCTAATTAAACATAATATAAGTTATAAAACTTTTGAGTGTTAAATCATAATTAAGAAAACTTTTGAGTTGTATTAGTTAAAAAATAGGGTTTCAAATTAATGTGGTTTGAGAAAGTTAAAAAATGGAGTTTCAAATGCATGAGATTCAAGAAAAAATGTTAATTTTATAAATATGTATGATGTATGATATATATTGATATAGATAGATAGATACATATATATAGATAGATAATGATGTATTATTTATTTCAAATAAAATA